TGGAAGGATGGAGGTCAGCGAGTCCAACCCCCTGCTCAAGGCAAGATCACTTCCATTTAAACTGTCCCAGATAAAGGTTTGCCTAACCTGCAGTTTAAAAAGTTCCAATGATGGAGTTTCCAAAGTCTCTCCAGGTAATCTGTCACACTGCTTGAACACCCTCAGAGTTCAAAAATTCTTCCTTATATCTAACCTAAAACATGCCCTGTTGCTATTTAAGAACATTCAATCTTGGCCTGCCCGCTGTGGACAGAGAACCATCTAGCACCATCTTTATAACCACCCTTTATATATCTGAAGAGTCTTCAGATCCCTCCTTGGTCTTCTCTTCTCCAGACTAAATCATCTCAGTACTTCCATCTTTTCCTTGTAAGTCATGTTTTTTAGGTCGCAAATCATGTTTGTTGGTTTCTCCTGGACACAAAACTGACATCTTAGTGGGATCCAGGCTATTACACAGGGCAAAGACGCCATTTCATGAATCAGTCACTTTAAGAAGGCTGCCTCCATGCCCCTGAGACATCTTAGCAGCAAAGCAGAATTTTGCCCGGAGCATGCTCTGCAGGAAGTCAGAGCACCAGAAGCCAGATCCTGTTTGGTAGGACAGCTCCTGTCACTCCTCAGTTGTCAAGCCAGTACCTCCTTCTTCCACTTGACAGGAGCCACACCACTTTTACCAAAACCAGCAACTGGAGATTTTAAACAAATGCAGCTCTCTCTCCTTACTTGACATTGCCCACCACTGAGAGCAGGAAGAGGTTGGAATGTCAGCAGCATCTCCATGAAAGGAAGCAGCTGGCAACCTCTCTGCCTTCCCCATTATAATAACCATTTTTCAGCTAACCCCAGCATCAAGCTCCAATTTGTCATAAACACAGAAGCATGGAAGTAATGAAGGAAGCAGCTGAGACCACCGGTGAAAGCAGGCAACATTAACAAACTGTGCTCGCAGACAGCGTGGGGAGCAAGTGGCATCCAGTTTAACAGGCGGTAGATGATTCAAGGCACTCTTTGTTGCTAAGTTTTTAAATTTTTTATTTCTTCTAAAAACAGAGTTGAAACCAGGGCTTGAAATAAATCCCTCCTCCTTCCTCTGTCTCCCAGGAAGAAAGGGGTGAGGAAAGAATTCAGGTTTCACTGTCCTGTCAAAACTCCAGCATGCAATTCATAGAATGACCTGCTGATTTTTGGTTTCCAAGTTATCTTTACAAGCCCCAGTGGGGCACTACAATGGAGGAGTTGCTCTGTTTTGCCTGGACTATCCAAAGTGGCTGCTTGGCAAGCAAGTAGTGTGAGTGCATGATATCACAAGCAGAACTTTTAGATTCAAGGTCTCAGACCTTCATCCAGCCTACTTATTTAGAGCCCTGCAGACCCAACAACAGGAGCCATCACTTGGCTGCTGTAGCAGGTCCTAAGACTTGAGTTTCACCACTGCAGAAAGAAAAAGTCAAAACAAAAACAAAACCTAGGAGTGACTGCTATACAGGAGTCACAGATACAAAAGGAAAAAAACCCACTATCAATGTTTAAATAGCTATTGCAACAAGGAGATCTGAGCCACTACTGGGCCCCTTTTCTCCCAATATCACACATTTCAGCTATGGCTGTCTACTCCATGAGCCCTTCACTACTGCAGCAATACTGGTATACAATACCATGCTGCACTCCCAAGTGTGGATACAGCTAACCTGGCAAAACTGACCTTTGTACTAAGTTAAATAAACGATCAACCACATGTGAAATGAGCTGCCTCAGTGAAAGTTCAGTTTTGCCACTATAACTGCTTCTACACTAGGGGCTTTGGTCACCATGGGTATGTCAGACTAGGATCCTTCTTCTTTACAGCCACTAGCACAGACATGTCCTAAGATACAAGCAGGAATAAGTTATTCCATTTAATACTGTTTGGCATGATTGTACGCTTTCAGTCCTTCCAGCACCAACTGGCTAAGAGGCAGTCATTCTCCTTTGATCTCCCAAACTCATACCTCTCTCTCTCTCACACACACACACACACACACACACAGTGTCTAGCTCTGGGCTTTATTCCCTAATGAAACATAGCCTAGCTCACAGGGAAGCCACCTCCAATTTCTCTACTCGCATCCTGCCTTTAGGGGAGCTGCTCTCACCTGAATACCTGCACACTTAAGGCCAAACACAGGCAAAAGAAACAATGGTTCCCAAAGCCATGCATGGACTTGGCTCGGATGACTCAGGCTGGACTCTATTCCAGCAGTAGGACCCAATTCGAGCAAAAAAAGGATACAGGGGAAAGGCATGACATCCTTCAGGGTTTGCAAAGAGTCAAAGGTCTACAAAGAGCTTCTGGTTTGTCAAAGGCAGCCAGTAAAACCAGTATGCATCAGGTACCCCTTCCAGTGGTTATTACATAGAAGCCTTTCCCACTATCCTTTAACTCCATGCCTTGACCAAATACACATATATTCATGAGCCAAACCCTGCAGTTCTCTCATGAATATAAATGGAGGGAGGACTTCAGGCTTTTGGCTGGGAGATGTACTTGAAAACCAACAGCCGTATTTCACTTAATTCAAGATTATTTTGAATTGTTCCTTCATCCCAAATTCAAAATTAAATCTAATATTTTTCCCCACATACCACCACTGCAGCCGAGACTGTTCTGGCTGACAGTGCATGCTGCCTCATACAGTTTGTACAGTGACTGATGGGGATTTCCCTGGAACATTCTCCCCCAAACCGCCCCTTCCCCAGCACCTTTCTTTGCAAGCCCACCAGACAACGCTTGCTAGCTATTATGACTGTCCCTGCAGGGGCCAATAAGCAACACTATTGAGAAGCAGCCATCTAAAGAGAGAAGAGCCTCCGTTTATAACCAGCTGTAACTAGATTAGCTCATTGGGACAGTCCCTTTCCTATAGATGGAGCTTGCCAGACTGCAATACAGCTTAGATATTAGTGATTTTGTGATGGTAAGCCTTGCTATTTACAGTGAACACAGCAAAGTGGCACCTTAGCCAACCACAGGCAATCGGCTGCCACCATCTCCACTTTCATCACAACCTTGCAAGAAACCAGCATATTTTCACCTGGACCCCTTGTTGTGAAGACATTCTCTTCTGGGAGACACACTGGGCTTTCAAGTGGAGGAGGTGCCAGGGGATGCTGGTGGAGGAAAAGAGGTTAAAAAAAGATGCCTTGTGGATTAAGATTAGGAAGAGGTAACTGGTGTATGAAGGGAATTCTCCCTACCCGCTCTAAAGCTCAGCTGGAAATTAGTAGAATGGGGGACAAGGTGTCTAGGCCACAGGTTCTCCAGATTCCTTAGCTGCCTTTGGCATGGTTTCCTCCTCTGTCCACCACACAACTAGTTAATCCTAGAACAAGGATGAAAGGAAAGAAGGACACCAGGCTTCATCTGAGATTTCTCTTCCTTTCCTTCTATCCCCTAGGAATAGCTCCTAGGTAGCTGTAAACACTGGCCAATTTCAGACTTCCAGTCTACACCTAACCCAGTTCCCCGAGCAGCCTGATCCTGCCTCACTGCTGCGACAGGGGCTTTCCTCTGAATATTTCCTCAAGCTCTAAAATCTTCAACTTGGTGAGAAGTCTCATCAGCAGGCTCATACCTAACAGTTTGGGTACAGTGTCCACCCAAAAACTGAGCCCTTTCCCCACCCCTTCCTTTGCCAAGTTAGACCTTTTGAGTCAAAATGATTGTGTCCACCCACAATAACCAACAGTCTGTTCAGCATTTTGAACCTGATTGTACAAAAAATAATACTAATAATGATAATTATAATAACAATGCAGGAAACCTCCTCCAGGAGAACGATTGCCATTATCAAAGGGAAAGGAGGGAAGAAAATTGCCCAGATGCTCCCAAGCTTGTTCCAAACTGTTCTAGTTAGAGCTTAGAATGTGGGAGATTGGGCAAAAATCCCACCCCGTTCTATAGGGGCTAGTCAGTGCTGAAGCTCCCAGAAGACTGCCGTCGCACAGGAGAATGGTCCAAACATGCGGCTTCTCCCTGGGCCTGGGAATGTGATTGTTTGGGCTTTCTTCTGACATGATTATTTTTAAAAAGAGCAGCATTTGGTTTGACCGTGAGGAGATTGGGTCAGAAGCATACGACTTAAATCCGCAACAGATTTTTGCTTGTGAATCCTTTTTATCCCAAACAGGATGTTTTGTTTTTAAAGAAAAAAAAAAAAAAAAAAAAAGTTTCCTTTTCTCTCTGAACCCGATTGGTTGAAGGAACTAAGTATCCTGTTTAGCCAAACCATCACAAGTGGTCATGAGGGACCACAGACTGAACCCAATAGCTCATCTTGATTGATCTGGGATCTCTCACAGCAAGATTTGCCCACCCATCCCTAGGGCAGGAGGCCATGACAGTCATCCCATTTCTTGAAACCTGATTCTGAAATAACAGCTGAAGCACAGAGTCTTCTGGCACATCAGTTGCCACGATAAACCTCAATCTTGCTGGTCTTTGCCAGCATGTCAATGATGTGAGCTTCAAAGTCAGCATCATGCACCCTGGTTTTCCGGAACTCTCCAGCATAACGATTGTTCTCCCAGTAGTGGTGCCAGTCGCCTCGGCTGTCTGCACCAAATCCAAAGACATTCACCTGTAGCAAGAGAAAGAGGGATGCCAGTAACATTAGTGGTACTTACTGCAAGGTGGGCTGGGAAACCATGATCCTGGGCATGAAGCCCATTGCCAAAAAGCATGAGAGTGCATTATAGCATTTTCTGTCTTCCTCTAAAGTAGCAGGCGTGAGCCACTGCAGAACACAGCATACTGGATCGATGGCTGATGGTAGACTGGGAAAGCCTACATTCCATCCCCCACTAACATAATGCACAATAGATACAAAGAAAGGTTTCCTGAGCTGATTCCATCTGCAGCTCAGACATTATGAGGCACATCCGTTCAAGACATTTCTAGGACATCCCATCACAACAGATTGAGCTCCCTAAGTCCAAACTGAAAATAAGCAGCCATTATGATGCTACACAAAGCTTAAGGGAAAGGGAGATACCAGGACTCTCACAGGAAATGCATGCCCTTCAACTGGAGGGAATCCGGCTAATCCAATGCATGACTTGGGATTAGTTTTAGGAGGCCACTTCAGCAAAAAGCAGATACAAAGAAAGACAGCAACCTGCAGCTGGGAAACAGGTCACCACTGGGAACTGTGGCAGATTTCAGCCATACTGTGCTAAGAACCTGATGGCCAGGACTAGATACTTTTCCTTTTGAAGATGAAGGCAGCAGGAGGTTGGATTTCACATAGGAAACCAACTCCCATGCTCCATGCCAATGGCATCATCAACCCCTTCAAACCCTTACCTCATCGCAAACATGAAGCGCAAAAAACAGCACTAGCATCCCTGTGGATGGGTATCGACCATGGTGCTCTGTCCATCGGTCATGGATATATTTGAAGAAAGCCGGATTGTAGATCTGCACCTAGAAGGAAGTCAAACTTTAGAGTTCAGATTATAGAAATTCTCCTAAAAATGAAAAAAGGATGAGAAGCACAGGCCCAAATTGCTCATGAATGAACACGTGTATACAAGCTGAAAAGGACTGCCATAACTTAGCTACACGACAAGCACATTAGCTGCTTCACCACACTGTCCAGGTACCAAGAAACCCCGTACTTTCACATGCCTTGCCAAGTCAGTTTAATATTTTCTTGGCTCCTGCAGTCTGTTGGCACACTCTACTAAAGCCAGCCAAATTCCACTCAATCCTTCTCCAAGAGACAGTGCTGAATGCAAGATCAGCTGTGAGACAACATAAAAAGTGGGTCTTTGGGAAAAAGTGATCTATGAAACTCAAATGAACTATGAGTCAGGAAAATGTACAGTACCCTTGTGATGAAGTACAGCAACTTTTGCTGAAATCTAACTACCTCAGGAACCTGCTTGGCCTTTTCCACATTAGAGGCAAAGCCATAAAATGTGGTTGGGTTGTGTTCCAAGCCTGACTAGATGGGCTAGTCAAATTCTCCATGGACAAGGGCCACAGGCAGACTTCAAGGAAATGTTCTTGAGAAGACAAGGAGGATGGATTTCTCGGGCAAAGAAGAACATGAACAGGTGTTCTGGATCATCCTCCACCCCTCTTCCCCCAACACAGTCAGGACAGTGTATGCCAAGGGGGCCCAGCACCAGCCTTACCTTTTCTTTGTCCACCCGAAGGAAAGGCTTCACAGGCGCGTATGTGCTGAAACAGCAAAAAGGCAAATTATTTCCTGTGTCCTCAGTGCTCCCTGAGCCCACACAAGGGGTTATAGCTTCATAGTTTCTGGGGTCGGAAGGGACCTGGGCAGATCATCTAGTCTGCCCCCCTGCCATAGCAGGAAAGAGTACTGGGGGTCAAACGACCCCACGTTATTCCTGGTCACTCCTGGCAGCGCTCAGGGGAACAGGGACTCCCCCAGTGCCTGTTGATCCCCCCCGACTAGTTTATAGCAGGCCACAAGATCCCCCCATAGCCTTCTCTTCTGGAGGCTGAACAGGTTCAGGTCCCGTAACCTTTCCTCATAGGACCTGCCCTGCTGTCCCTTGATCATGCGAGTGGCCCTCCTCTGGACCCTCTCGATGCTGTCCACATCCCTCTTAAAGTGCGGTCCCAGAACTGGACGCAGTACTCCAGCTGCGGCCTGACCAGTGCCGCATAGAGGGGGAGGATCACCTCCTTGGTCCTGCTTGAAATGCATCTGTGGATGCACGACAAGGTACAGTTGGCCTTCCTAGCTGCCTCCCCACACTGCCGAGCCATGTTCATCTTGGAGTCAATAATGACTCCAAGATCCTTTTCCACCTCCGTGCTGACAAGAGGGGAGTTCCCCAGCCTGTAGGTATGGTGCCGGTTGTTCCTCCCCAGGTGCATCACCTTGCACTTGTCTGTGTTGAACCCCATCCTGTTCTCCTCCGCCCATCCTTGTAACCTGTCAAGGTCCGACTGTAGCCTGTTGCTCCCTTCTATTGTGCCCACATCCCCCCACATCTTGGTATCATCAGCAAATTTGAACAGGGTGCTTTGCACCCCCTCATCCAAATCACTGATGAAGATGTTGAACAGGGCGGACCCGAGGACCGAGCCCTGCGGGACCCCACTGCCCACGTCCTTCCAGGCCGAGAAGGACCCATCCACTACCACCCTCTGGGTGCGGCTCTCTAGCCAGTTGGCGACCCATTGGACTGTGTGGGTGTCTACGCCACAGTCCCCCAGTTTCCTAACGAGAATGGGGTGAGAGACAGTGTCAAAAGCCTTCCGGAAGTCCAGGAAGACTATACCCACTGCTACCTACTGCTTATGATGAGAGGGTGCATTCAAAGTAGAGCAGTATTAAATGGGGAAGTCAGTCACTTGGGTCCAGATCCAGGAAATTGCCCAAGCAATGAATATTCCTATTCAAAAGACCCAGCACCTGCTAACGTATCCCCCGAGTCAGGCCTTAGGAGGCAAGTACCAGCCCTTTCATAACCCCCTTTCATACTGTGGCAAGGGAGAGGTCTGGCTAATATGCAGCCTGTACGCTACATGGCAGATGGATCACGCTGATGCAGACAGTACTAATTCCTGCTGTAAAACAGGGAGGTCCTGGAGACAGAAAAATAAAACCCTTCCTGACCCTTCGTGCTGACCAGCCTCTGCTATGAAGCATGAGAGCGGCCAGCCCTTACCTCCCAACACAGACTGATCACATTATACTGCAACCTTCAGGTTTGACAGACATTGCACAGTAGGCAACTGAACCTCACCAGACAATGAGAAGCTACTTCAGACTCCAAGCACAGATCTCTGGGCACTGGACAGAGGGCAGGTATCTTTACCTTCTTTGGCAGCTGGTGACAAAGAGGCATCAAGCATTTCTTGTTGCTCTTTCCTTAAGTTACTTTCCATTCACTTTGCCTTTTAGTCTTGCTTTGTGGGAGATGTTCAAAAGGAGGCTGGTGTAGTTTAACTGCGCCCATCGGAACACTCCAACACCTCACAGCATGCTACCTACACCCTGAAAGGCAGCCCAAGGACATCTTCGCTGTAAACAATCCTGCCCTCTAACTGATAGGGCTGGTCCCCAGTCACTGAGGTTTAAGAGTGAGCCAATCACCAGCCTGAGAGCACATTTGCAGGTAGACAAGAGACTCCAATTACACACAGTGCCTTCAGCTGCAAGCTCCGGCCTTAACGAGGACTTTACAAACAAGCTTGAGGTGAAGACAAAAGACCCATCAGTGGACCAAGATTCCACAGAGTTATAGCAAGGCTCCCAGCAGCAAGAGACATGGGTCATTCCCTTCCATCCCCTCCTCTCCTCACCCACAGTGGACTGCACACTTTCATTTCCAGTGTTACGGTTGCTTCTGAAAGAGTATCCAAGCACCTGTTGGGTGGACTGGCCTTGCCCAGCCAGCCACACCGTGCCTGGCAGGGGAAACACTATGTATCTGGGTCCAAGACGACAGTTTTCCTTAAGCTCTCTTGGGGATAACTGTTCTTCTTGCCTGGTTTAGTACCTGCTGAGATGTTGGGGCTTAATGCCCATTTTATGGAAATGGGAGGCACCTCCCTAGCTTGTTCCTGCAGCCATATGGCTGAAGGCAGGTGAAACTTGAGGGCATCTGAACCCCAAGCCTCTGGGCCTGGGCCTGCACGTAGGATGCCCGCCAAAAGATTTTGGAAATATCTGAAGCCCCTGGTGGGGGTGGAGGATGTTTGCCGGTTGTAGGGCCACTTATTGTTCTGAACTGACTTATGGATTTGGACTTGATTTGGCTGATTTGGCTTGGAACATGAAACATTTCTTTAAAAAGCCACACTATGCCTGAGGCATGGCTGCATGTCAACCTCAGGAACAAAATGTAGATGCTTTAACTAGAACCCATCAGGCTGTGGCTCCCTGCAGTCTTCTCCTATACCTTCCAAGGCAGTTCAGTGCCGCAGAGTACAACCAGCCCAACAACCCTAAGGAATAAAGTTCCCTGTTTCATACATGGAGTTATGAAAGGGGGAGAGGACAAAGAGGGCAGCAGAGAGAAGCTTTCTGAGCAATTCTGTTCTCTTACCAAAAGTCCCCTTTCTGACCCTGAGCAGCAGCCTCCAGGGGAGCTCATTAGAGGTCTCAGAACACTAGGGAGTACTGGAATGAAACACTCATTTAGGTCTCAATCTTTTATTTAAAGACGACACTGGCAATGTTCCCCATTGCATTTCAGTGGAACAGGATCATGTCCTTAACAGAAGCAAACGAACAGCCACCAAAGAGGACATTTGTTCACTGCTTCCCTGCCAGTGGCATTGGGGTGAAAAGCTGTGAATCCCATAGACAATGCCACTTTTGCCTTCTGACCCACATGATGCAGAGCTGGGTAGACAGTGCCATGATGTGCTAGTCAACTAACTGCCTTTCAGAAGGAAGGCTTCTTTCACCCACCAGCATGACTGTCTAATTGGGTACTTACAATCTGATCTGTCCAGTTGACAGGGCACTAGCAATCCACAGCAAGTCCAAGGTTTTGAAGGGCACTAGCACAAAGCTCACATTAGCAGGCAGATTCTTGGCACTCTCTGGGTACATGAAGTGGTGGGTGGTCCTGCTCCCGACATCTGCTTCAAAACCTACCGTTGGGGCCTGGTTCATTCTGCAGAGAGAGTTGGGACTTAGAAAGGCAGCATTTCACAATTTCCTTGTCACTTGCACAGAACAAGCTAATTAGTGAAAGAAACTGAAAACCTGCTTATCAGTAAGGAACATCTGCACAACTAGAGATGAGATGAGTAATTATTAATGCCAGGAATCTTGTAGTCCCTCACTGCGCGCTCAATTTCCAGACCTGTCATTACATTAACAAAGGTTTTTACATTCTGACCATACCTCTTTAAAAAAAAATGTGGGAAAAAAACTTTAAAAGGAAAACCTAAACTTTGCACCCAGGGAGATGCAGATTGATGTACTTCCTAAAAAGGTACAAAGTTGCAACTGCTGATTCAGAGTAAGAGGTTCTAAATGACTGCTGCAGCCCTTAAGTTTCAGCTAGAGTTCTGGGTGCCCAACACTTCTGAATTTCACCTGTGATACTTCACAGTGTTACAATAGCCGTGTTCCAAGCAAGAAACTTGACTAATATCCAGAGATGCACAAATATATTACAGCTCAGTTATTTAAATACGTCTTTCCAAGCATGCAGCAGTTAATCACACAGAAGAAGCAGACAGTGCTAGACAGACTCTGGAGAGCTGGCTTCTATTCCCATCTCTGCCACTGAGCTGCTGGGTGATCTGGGACAAGTCACTTGAGTTCTTCACCTCATTCCCATCCCAGCCTTCTTCTCAACTATTTCAGCTATTAGGTCTTGGGGGCAAGGACTGTTTTGCATTATGTGTTTAGAAAGAGTTTGATTGGCAAAATGTGACTGCAATTTTAGGTAGCGATTCTAGCTGCTAAAGTGTGACATGTTATGGGCACACGGGAACTGCTAAGCCAGGGAGCTATCCAAATCAGTATCCTGTTTTAGAGTATACATTACTAGATGCTTCAGAAGTTGCGCAAGAAGTAACGAAGCAGCAATTATGGGGGGAAAAAAACATTCTTTCCACCCAACGGAACATAGTTCCTAGCTCCCAATATTCCTCAGTGAGGACAAGTCACACTGACATTTGAATTACCTTGAGAATGAGGGAAAAAAACACCCTACTTGCCAATCACTAAACATTCATGCAGCGATATTCAGAAATCCCTAATACCTTGGGTCATTCTTGACTTTTCAGTGGAGGACAGAGCATACCTCTTGACTTGCATTTTGAGATGCACCTCAATTGAACAGAACTTCTCCAGTCCTGCAATAACTTAGAAATATCATTCAAAAGAAACCCTAGAAGTGGTGCAGGCCCATTGAACAGACATGGTAAAAGTTGTTAATTAAAAAAAAGAGTTCAATAAATATTTGTGTTACTCGTTTGGAAAGCAGTAGGATGATGTACTCATATCATGAAGCAAGGATGAAGGAGTACTTTTCAGTCCATTTGAAATGAAGAACGAAATAAAAAAAAAAAAATAAAAAAATCTACTAAAGAGAAATATTTTAAAGAAGAATCAGCAGGCCTGGATAACTTTTCCCTAAGAGATCTCAGGCCTGCTCATGTGAACTTGTAATAAATCTTGAAACAATGAGGAGATTCCAGAAGGTCACAAATGAGCTAATATTGTCCTATATTCAAAACAAGCAGCTGGGATGACCTGAAAATACTATAAGTCAGTTAGTATGATGTCAATCCTGGGCAACAAGAGGGAATCACAGAAGAAGAAATCCATCTGTAAGACATTTGACTAAGTACCATGATTTATTTTTCAATCAAAATATTGAAATATAAATTGGGAGCACATATTAAACAGATTGAGAATAACTGGCTCACAATTCTTAAAGAACAGAGTCAACAGGGAATCCTCATGGAATGGAAGCATTTCTAGTGCAGATCCACAGGGAGCGTTACTAGGCCTGATGCTATTCAACATTTTCATCAAAGATTTGAAAGTAAAAATGAAAGTCACTACAGATAAAATCTGTGGATAACAAAACAAACAAAAAAAATCACCACCAGTGTGGTAAATAAGGAGGGCAGGAGCAATCTGGATGTATTTTAATACAACATAAAAGCAGATCATGCCTACAGAATACAGGACAGAATCTAGGAAAGCAGGAGCTCTGAAGCTAACTCAACCTGAGTTTTCAGTATGATGATGTGGCAAAAAGGGGTTGCTGTGATCTCTGGATGTACAAATGGGAGGTTGTTGTTGGATGTAACAATTTGTTAGCCCTAGGCTAACAACTTGGAGCTGCTTTTACTGCTGTGTCTAGGGAGAAAGATACTAGAATGTAGCATGCAGACAGATACTAGAATGCTCCTACAGAACGAGACTTAAAGAACTCAGTCCTGCTTAGCTTATCAAAAAATGCTCAAGGAGACTCCATTACAGCACAAGTACTTTTATGGAGAGGTACATGCCAAAAGGGCTCTCAGCAAGCAGAGAAAAGCAGCTTCCAATCATCAGTGCTTGTTCTGAAGCCAGACAAATTCAAGTAAAAAAAAATGAAGATATGCATGCCTAACAGCAAGGGTTTTAACTACTGGAACAGGCTACTTTGGGAGTGGTGCATTCGTTATCTCCAAGTGTTCAAATCAAAGGGCTTCTCCAAGAAAAGCACCCAAGTTCAACCTATAGACACTGTGTGAAATGGAAAGGCCAGAGGTCTGTAGATGGTCTTTTCTGGCCTTAAACTGTATTAATTTAGGAATTAAGTCTCTCTCTCCATGAAGAACCTCAGGATCTTGGTCTTTTTCATCATCTCAGCCCTGTACTAAGTTGTCCAAAGTCCGAATTCCATTTCCCTATGGGTGCCACTATGTGGCAGCAAAGTAAAAGGAACTGGATGAAGAGGCTGCTTTTAAGGGAAGCTTGGCTGCATACACATTGCTGAATGTGTTAGTGACCTCAAGACTAAGCAGTCTTCCTATATTGCACACAAACAAAGGGAGGGCAACTAACTCAGTGAATGCCACTGCTCTCACTACACCTAGGTCAGAAAATCATTAAGTGTTGTCAACGCAAGTTAACATCTGATGAAGTGAACTTGTTTTCATGAAAGCTTATGCATCTCTGATGTATTTAGTCTATAAAGATGCATCTCTGCCCTACCCGATTTTACCCCATCATACCTAACTACCCCTCGAAGCACTGAATTGTCAGGAAATGCAATCTTAAATCCCTATCATGACTCAGGCCAGCACTTCATGATTCCCATGATATTTTTCCTGTAGGACCCCTGCCACATTCACTGCACAGGATGGGTCATGCTTACATAGTCTGCAGCTGTTTAATAACAGTTTCCCGCTCATTAGTCCCTGTGTGACCCTAGACCTTGTTTATTGCAGGCTGTTCTGACCTTGTGCTAAAGACAGAATTACTAGTTTCCTCCTGGGCTTTATGGCATGTACAGCTATAGCAAGCAAGGGCTTCACAAACAAAAACACCAACCTCTCTCTCTTCTCACAGTACCCCCAGGAGCATTAACATTGACCATTTCTGCTACTTTTGGGTGTCTAGTAAGAGATGCCTACTACCACCTGATATTTCACAATACTTTGCATTTACAGATCTCATTATATTTAAAGCACAGCTCTTGCTATTTCACTTGCAACTGAGTGGTCAGGCTTTCTGCAGACCAGCCCCTCACGTATCAAGTTGAACACTCAAGATGAGGAAAATGCAATGAGTGATTAAACGTGAAAAGTCTAGGTTAAGCTATTTGAGTAGCATCTTGAAGGAACCCTCTGGCATAGGCAGGGACAGAATCTAGTTCTCCCGACTGTCCTCTCTCCCTCATTCACTCAACACTTCCCAACTTCTGCAACGAAGTGTGGCAGAAGACTCTCTGGCTATTACGTCCTTTACTACACAGACCCAATTCATTCCCAAAGGAAGTCTGTCCTGAACAATGAATGAAGTATGGGTCCAAAGGGAAAACAGAGTGTGATTATTACACAGCCTTTAATGACATAATGCACATGCACACACATGGATAAAACATAGCTTACCTAGGCACTCTTAATTCCACCATTTCCTAAGTTCTGAACACTCCACTTTACAATCTGGACAACATTCACTTGAGATGTATATAACTTTAAAATTCATATACATATCAAGTGAATGTTGTCTCTCGCTCATATATATATATATATGAATGAGAGAGATAAATGTATAGAAAAATATATACATACACTTTTTTTTTTGGCTTAAAAAAATTCAGAGAAATGCCATCATATTGGCATCCCCATAGGTGTGCAGCAGTGTTAGAACCCTTAGATTCACCACACAGATGGCTACCATTTGAACTAATGGAGGAAATGAGAGTAGTAGTAGGTTGTCACTCTCTCCGAGTCAGCAACAGGAGGTGGGACATTTTGCCAGCAGCTTCCATAGCTGGCAGAAGAATTGTGACTCTGGAATGGCAAGTTCCACTTCAGGGGCTGAAGGGGAATGTACTCTAATAAAGAGAATGACCCTAGTGTTCTGTCTCCTCCAGCCTGTCCTGGGCCCAACTCCTTTCCACTTCTGGCTCATCCTTGTCCCAGTCTCCTTTGCCCAGCCAATCCCAGCCCCCTTGGGTTGGCCCCTCCTCTTTTGATTTTTACATCTTGCCCCATTCCTTTTCCTTTGTGAAGTCCCTGTTCTCCTGGCCCCCAGCCCCTCTTACTACCAGGTTACAGCTTTTCTCCTCCACCCATTCTGGTTCCTGTCTTCCTTGTTCATTCTGCTACTTCCCTCCCACACCAGGCCAGCTCTCATCCCCTCTGCATACAAATGAAGTGGCTTGCTCCTCCACATTGACCCTTGCTGGTGCCTGGACATCGAGAGCACAGGACAGAAAGGCTCCTTGGTGTCAGTGCCAATGTCGGGTTCATTTGCCTGGGGCAGTAGGCACTCTCTGAAAGAATGCCTTTCAGAGAAATGTCTCCGTGAGGATGGCACACGTAATCGGACCAGGGTTGCCAAAAACAATTTCTGGACATTTTTGGCTACTTGATTGTAAGAAGTCTCTACTGCTATAGGGGTAGAAGGTGGCACCACACCCCTTAACTGTCC